CATAATTTTTTTTTGATTGAATACTACTTTTTTGTTTGACAATTTTTTTTGATTGAATACTACTTTTTTGTTTGACAATTTTTTTTGATTGAATACTACTTTTTTGTTTGACATGATTTTTTTTTTTGATTGAATAATTGTGAAACAAAACTAACTCCATAGACTTGTACATTTCTGATGCGTCACTCCTTAAAAACCCTCTTGGCTTCGTGTTAAAACACATTTAATCTGTGAAACTTTGTGTTTAACAGAACAGAATGAGGAGTTTTCAGTCTGACTAACCTGGTTCTTTGATATTATGTAAAAATATGTTTTAGTCATTTTAACACAAAGATCTGACAAACATCTTGATGCGTTTCCTGTCTGCCGTTTTCTTTAAACTCCTGAGGAGGCAGAAACAATGGATTTAGTTATTTATTTTGTTTTTATATAATCTCATCACCACGCGCTCAGAATACAGTCGCATTGATGAACTGCGCTACGTCTGCCCTCTGGTGGCAGTTGTAGGCATAGCAGCTTCCGGTGAATCAAACTCGTCTCCATGTAAATTATTTCCAGACCAGACAATTCCTTCTTTTTAAGATTAAAACATTTAAACATTTACTGCAAAACGTTGTTGCACCAAGAATTAAATTTACAACATATGAGAAATATTTCTGTACAGTTATTAAAATAGTAGAGTCAGATCCAAAATGGCTTTTTGTGCCATATGTGTAAATCTGTGTGAAGAACAAAGCAGTTTACTATTTATTGTAATATAATAATATATTGTAAAATACTGAGATCTGAATCTACAGGAGTACGAATCATTTTGGGATTAATTGTTTTGTCGTCGAAGAGTTTTCTTCTCATAAATTAAATAAACTAAATCAATCAGGCACTAATTGAATCTCAGGCTCAGATGATTTGAGTGTTTGAAGTAAAACATGACAAATAAGAAAACTGAAGTGGCGTAGTCAAAGTACAACAGAATAACTGTTTAATGTCCTGAAACAGGCAGTTTGTGCTGAACTAAAACAATTCATCCAATCAGAACCGACCAGGGTTCTGATGGGAAACGGCGGTTTGATGGCAGCTGCAGCAGCCGTTTCCAGTTTTAGGGGTTGAATACTTTTTACATCTGACCAGGCTGGTTCGGAGAAATATTTTCCATTTTTTCTTCAGTAACTTTGAAGCGTCTTGAGGGAAATGAGTGATGTGTAAAATAGGATGTAAATGACACTGGTTTGAATAGTATGAAGTTTCATGAATGCTTCAGGTATTGTCAGCAAAAAATGCAAATAGTTTGTATCATTGGTTTGCATGTCCGTGACAACAGAATCATAAGTGCAACAATAAGCAGCTGCAGGTCTGCAGACAGGCTGCAGCAGCAGAGATGATGGACGCGCTTCACTTCCTCACCGCTGCATCATGTAAGGCTTCGCCTGCTTCCTCTTATTTATTTATTTATTTATTTATTTATTTATTTATTTATGTATTTATTTTCAAGTTTATTTGATAGGGACAGACATACATTGACATAGACAAACTGAATAAAACATCATCCCATGTTTGCATCATGGTGCAATAGCAACAGCTAATTCGCAGCACTTGTCCCTAGATGGGCTTTTAAAAAGTAACTAAAAATTGAAATGATAATTTTTAGAGTTACCTCACAGTGGTCCTCTTGACCACTGTGAGGTCAGGAGGTGAATATATAAAACATTCTCTGTTAAAATATACTCGGTGTTTTCAAAAACACGTATCTGCAGTTCTAAATTACCTCAAAGTTTTATTGCTCTGCTGATATTAACAACTTATGACAAACTCAGACTTTAAGATTAACATAGAAAATGCTAAATTTAATAACTTTTTATGATATAATAATAGTTAGGAACATCCAGATGTGTTAGTTTAAATTTGACTTTCACAAAATAAATTCAAAGTTTGACTATTATTGTTTTATTTGTTGTGCTTGTGGTTAAAATAAATGGCTTACAGTATGATGAGCAGTGATATGCAGATTGATACTGAAATATTGATGCTTCTGCCTTCTGATACCTTTATGTAATAAGATCAATTCTCAAATCCAAGTATTTCAGTACTTCAGTCACTTGAGGTAATGTAGCTAAACAAAAGAAAGATAGAAAGAAACTCAGACTGAGCAGCGTTGATGGGAACTACTTTTTCTTCCGCCTGTTGAGTGTGTAATGCGTCAGGACGAAACGCCCAAAGCAGCGTCACTCAGACATAAACACGACGACACGTCATGAAACACATTTCAGCTGTCAGTTTAGTTCTTAATAACTAAACGAGAAAACGCTGCAATCAAAATAAAAAAAAATCCTACAATCAACTAAAATAATGCAAACAAAAAGCAAAAAGTTAAATACTACAAACCTGTTCCAAAAAGTGTGAATCCTCCAGACCACTAGGGGGAGTAGGGAGTGTGTAACATTACCTCTGTAAATATGCTGCTGATCTGTAATATTGTTTTTAAAGGTTTTATTGGCTCTAGTGGCCTTCATTTGATAGTTGACAGGAAAGTGGGAAGTGCGGCAAAGGGCGCCAGGTCAGGAATCGAACCTGCGACGGCCACCTCGAGGCCTGAGGCCTCCATATGTAGGTTGTGCTTCACCCCTGCGCCTCCACAGCACACCGAAATGTAATATTGTAAAAGACACAAACTTTTTCTTTTCTTCTCCAACTTTCTCATTCACACCAGTTAAAATCATGACATGGAGTCTGTACTGTGGTCCGTGTGGTGACTGACGCCCCCTGGTGGTCAGGAGGCAGTTTTATACATGCTATTGAATTCTCTCTTTTGCTTCTGCCTCCTCTGGGTGCAGCAGTTTTTATTTGCAGCTTTTTGCTGCTGTTTTCTGTCTTTATGGGATTTTTTGTTGTTTCCAGTGTTTTTCTGTTGGATTAGTATTTTGGGTTTGCAGCATTCATGTGTCTCCATGATGTTTCTCTGACTGATGCGTTTGCAGCTGTTGGCCTCCATCCTATGCTCTGTCTGAGGAGCCAACTGATTTTTATTATCACTTTAGGGTGGGTTTTGGGGTCATCTGTTTGTGTTTGTTAGATTTTTTTGATTTTTTTAATGAATGAATGTTTTGCAAACGTACTTCATTCATTCATGAAGTGAGCTGTTTTAATGCTTTTGAATATTTGTGAATGTAAAAAATAGTGGAGTATTTGAAAATAATGAAGTTTACTCCCTTTCAGGACCAAGATGGTCGATTTGAAACCAGCTCTGCACAATCAGCTAATGAGCTGCAGATGAACTGAGTGTTGGTGTGTTTTGCTGCAGTGCTGTGTGTCGCCTCGGCTCGCCCTCCACGCCTCTTTGTTTTTGTCAATGAGTTGATGACCTGGCCGGACGCTCAGAGTTTCTGCAGACAGAACTTCATGGACCTGGTGACGGTCAGCAGCATGGAGGACGTGACGCTCCTGACCAGCATGGTGGATCTGGACGCCATGGTCTACGACAGCTCAGATTTCAAACATGTACGTTTGAAAACGCACAGCTGTTCCAAGTCCTTTCACAGTTTCTTGTGGTTAAAAGTTAAAGCTGAGTCTTTGCGCTGTTTTCACTCAGATGTGATGTGTTGCTTGCAGCGAGCCTGGATCGGTTTGTCTGAGGACCTGAACAGCTGGAGGTGGTCCATTACTGACCCCAACTTCTACAGGGACAGAGAAGCTGCGTTCAGGAACTGGGCCGAAAATGAGCCAAACAACTACCTGGGGGCAGAAAGCTGCGTCGGGATGTGGAACAATGGCTTCTGGAACGACAACCACTGCCAGATGTTGGCCAAAGTGATCTGCCACGATGTACAAGGTGAGAGGATCAGACCAAACCTCTGACACGACTCTTAATGAACATGACAGCACAGCTCAAAAATTAATTCATCAGGATGAACTCTTGACCTTTCCTCTGAGCTTGTATTGAAGAAATGAAGAAAGATTTGTTATTTT